GTAACTGGAGAGCAACTGGTTGGGAATAATGCTGGCTTCCTTTGACTACCAAAAGTAGGGAACAGGAAAACTGTTCCCATCCAAAGCTTCGTGGCAGAGACAAGGTTGAAAGATTCTGAACATGCCAGCACAAAGTAAGGACAGTGATGGGAAAACCTGGATGTTTCCTATTTTTTAAAAAATAACTCTCTTCTTGGTTTGTGTGCTTGTAGCCAAGAAGTATCACATTTCACCCTCAGATGGTGTGTGAGCAGGTTGTCGCTGACTTGGGTTCTTTGAAATCTTCTCCTGAATGGTTACAGCCATCATTTATAGCTTGATCTCTGAGTCTAGTCAATGTTGGTTTAGACTCCAACTGAATAAGCAAACTATAGCTTGAGGGCCGGGGGGGGGGGCTCCTTGGTGCTCTCTAAGCTTGTTTTCTTTTTTTCCCAAAAAACTTTTTTATTTTCCATTTTCATAACATACAATCACATGTATACTATTACATAGCCAATATCCTATTGTATTAAGTAGTAATTACATCAGTTCCTCTTGCCATCAACAAACCCATTATTAGCTCTTCTGCTCTTCATACACCACTTTCTTCTGCCTCTCTCCTACCTCCTTTCTTCCTTCCATCATCCTTTCCTAATCTACTTTCCCTTCCTTTCTCCTTCTCCTCTCTCTTCATTCCACTCCTCCTTATACACCTCATCTTCCCCCTTCACCCTCTCTAAGCTTGTTTTCTTGCAAACATTTCATTACTCAAACTAAGCAGTGGTGAAATTCATTTTTTTTTTACTACCAGTTCTGTGGGCGGGGCAAGGGAAGGATACTGCAAAATCTCCATTCTGACTCCACTCTGGGGGCTAACCAGAGGTGGCATTTGCCGGTTCTCCAGACTCCTCAAAATTCCCACTACCGGTTCTCCAGAATCTGTCAGAACCTGCTGGATTTCACCCCTGAAACTAGGTAGCATTATCAGTACTAGCACTGATGATATTCCCTAGTTGGGTAATGGAACATCTGCAAACCGGCCACCAGCTCCTTTCAGCACTGATTGTGTTACCGAGTTGGGTAATGTGACATCTGCAAGGAAATTGCCCAGCTCAGAGAGCACCAAACACCCCTTCCCCAAAGCCTTTGGCAGACCAAGCCAAGATAGTTGTGAGACTTGACCAGTCTTGTTGGTTACAGGAACAGAGCTGACAGCGAGTCCCCTACTCCAACCCCCCTCCCAGTCGTGTTCCTGCAGTGGAGACCCTCCTACAGAAGGGACGGCATGAAGGATGAGATAGCGGCCACCGTCTTCTTCATCACCCGCCTGGCCAAAAGACACAGCAAGCTCAACAAGCAGCAGATGGAGAAGTTTGCATCCACACTGACCACGCTTCTCTTCGAGAGGTACAAAAACCACTGGTATCTCGACAATCCCACCAAAGGACAAGGCTTCCGGTAAGAGAAGGGGAGACCCTCTTGGTCTAGTTCTCTTGCAAAAGTGGGGGGGGGGCTGCCTCTCCCTAAAACAACCCCACCTGACATCTCCCGCCCGCCCAGCAAAATTCTCAGCCAATCGCAGTCTGGAGTTTTCCTCCCCAAAATATGAAGGGAGCTGTTTGAAGTCAACGCCAGGCCCAACTGTTGAATAACCCAACGGAGGACTTGCTGGTGAGGTGGCAGTGGCAGCAGTAGCATTGCCCCGGTTAGAAAATGGTTTGGGGTCCATTGTGGCCCGCCAGCGGTCAGTGGCACTGGCAGCAGATTCAGACAGTGAGGAGGGTTGGGGAGGAACCTGGGCCAGTCCTGGAGTCTGGGGAAGGCTCTGACGAGGGCTCTGTGTCGGAGGCAGAGTGGGGGCCAGGGCCGTCTGACAGTTATTGGCTGCCTTCAGAGTCGGAGATCAGTGAGGCAGAAGAACAGCTGGAGCCTGTTCCCCGTGTGCTCTGGCCCCCTCTCTGCCTCCAACCCAGAGCCCTCATCAGAGCCTTCCCCAGACTCCAGGACTCGCCCAGGTTCTTCCTCAACTGCCTTGCTGTCTGAGTCTGCCACCAGAACCACTGGCAGCTGGCGGGCCACAACAGAATATGGATGGGAACTGGGTCAGTCTGGATCTCAGCTCAGGACTCACTTGCCCCAGATGCCTTGTACAAGTTCCCTGGCTCCTTTGCCTGGCCTCTCCTTCTCCGCTGGGGTTAACTCAGAAGGAAACATTCCTGTTCCCACTGGCAGAGGGGGGGGGGAGCATTTTAATCCGCCCAGCTCTTTTCAGGTGCATCAGGCTGAACCCCTTGCAGGCAAAGGACCCTCTCTTGGACCAAGCATGCGCCGCCAGCAACGTGGACTTTCAGAGCCTGGGTTTACCCCGAGAGATGACCATCTGGGTCGACCCCTTTGACGTCTGCTGCAGGTGAGTCCGCGGTGCCCTTTCTCTGCCCTCCTGGGATCGGTCTTTGGGCACCCAGGCCAAGTCAGGGCGTGGTTAGCCCTGGTTTGCTGAACCAACTGTGGTGGCGTGAGGCATTAAGCCAAACATTAGCCTGACAAATGGGCACAGCCCAAGAGGAGATGCAATGGCCTCCTTGAAGCTGACTCTGCCCGGCTCCAAAGATTCTGCTGGGTTTTCTCCTAGTTTCGGCTTCGGGTGTTGAGCCAATCAAGCATTTGATGTGGGGCTTAGCATGTCCGAGATGTGTGTTTTATTTTATGGTGTGTTTCCCAGAGCCGTATGGGTCATGTGGGTGACAGAGAGATGGGAAGGAAGGAAGGAAGGAAGGAAGGAAGGAAGGAAGGAAGGAAGGGGAAGGCTGAGGGAAGGAATAAGGAAGGAAGGCAGTAAGGAGGAGAGAGGGATGAAAGCAAGAAGGCACAAAGGAAGGAAGGCTGAGGGAGAGAAGGAAGGCAGTAAGAAGGAGAGAGGGATGAAAGCAAGAAGGCACAAAGGAAGGAAGGCTGAGGGAGAGAAGGAAGGCAGTAAGAAGGAGGGAGGAATTGAGGGAAGAAGGCATGAAGGAAGGAAGGAAGGAAGGAAAGAAGGGGAAAGCTGAGGGAGGGAAGAATGTAGTAAGAAGAAGGGAGGAATGGAGGGAAGAAGGCATGAAGGAAGGAAGGAAGGAAGGAAAGAAGGGGAAAGCTGAGGGAGGGAAGAATGTAGTAAGAAGAAGGGAGGAATGGAGGGAAGAAGGCATGAAGGAAGGGGAATGAAGGGGAAAGCTGAGGGAGGGAAGAATGTAGT